CATATTACATGTGTTAGGGCTTCCCCTACCGTAATACACCTAAAACACGCATTGCCGTAAAACTCTTCAATGACAAGAAAGCAATTTCTCTTGTTAAGTGCAGGGGAAGAGTTGAACAAAATCATTTATCGATTTAATGCTCACCATAATACCAGCTATACATGTAAAGCTCAAATAATGTCCTTCAATTTGGTCATGTCTAGCGGCCGTCACCCTTGAACCAATCTCATCTCCTGTCTGTTCCATTGCTCCTATTGCTCAACTTTCTTTTGCTGTCTGAAGCGCATCAATCGCACAAAATGCCCAATTCGCAGCACAAGATGTCTACTACTAATAATACAAATATTTGTACATTTTTTAATCCTTTAATTTTTTCAGATGTAAAGGTATTTGTGTGTTGCTGTACATCCTGTGTGTATTAAGAAATGTGTACACATTTTAGACCTGCATTGGCACATAACTAACACTGTCTGTGATGGACTTTACACCAGCTTTCAGTTGATCAGTGTTGCAGTCCATTTTAGTTCCTCACAATAGCAACGTGCCAACAATGCGCCTGAACACACCCTTTTTTAGACCAAATGGATTTGCTATTTAAACATTGTGTAAAACGTGAAAATTTGGGTTGCGCTGATCTGAAAATAGCAGCAAATCTCACTAAACAATGTTGCGCCTTATTGCGGCGGGTGTATGATAGGGCCCTATATGTTTCTGTCTGCATTCTGAGTGGTTTTGTGAGATTAAGCTTCTTTTTTTTTTAAAGGTTTGCATTCCGTATAGCAAAAATGATATGGTATGGCATGCTGCACAACTTTAGAGGCAACACATAATGGAAATCATTTTCGCACAGAATATGTCAGAATGTCATATGAGTGTTTTGTAGCTGACTAATAAAAAAAAAAAACAATGAACTTTTCTTCTCAACATTAAGAATATAGGTTAAAATAAAAGTTTTATAAAGGATGGATTGATACGGGAGCCAGATATCCCACACACTCTCTTAATTAATAGGTACCCATAAAACAGTAGGCAGCCTTTAGTTTAAATGAAGCATAGCACATTGAACAGCAGGGCACTTTGGATACTGGTTGAAATTTTAATTTGCTTGCCTTTGTCCCTCAGATCGTCTTCCTCCTACCAAGGAGATGGGAAGAGCTCCAGGGGATTGGACCAGACACCTGGCTCTCCAGATTCCAGGCATTTTGCAGAAGGAGACGTCTCGCCATGCAGCCCCTTCTGTACTGGAGCAGAGGATCCCTTCAGCCAGGCTGAGGATGAACAGCAGGTGTGTGTGTGTGCGTGTGTGTGTGCGTGTGCGTGTGTGTGCGTGCGTGTGCGCAGGAGGACTTAATGTTCTGTTCAACTTCATTACTGCTGTAACCATGGCAATTATTTAGTTGGAAGAACATCCTGTAGTTATAATAATAATAATAAAAACGTCTGCAGTTTTTATTTCTTCATCTAACATTACATTTCCTGGTGCTTTTGGAGATTATTGGTGAATCTTGAAAGATGGATATGCTTAATCTTTACATTAGAAGACAATATGAATGCGTAAATAAAAGGAGTGTTTAATAACCTCTATAAATCATTGCGTGCTTGCAGGCTGTGCTGCCATGGGAACGCCGGTCGTTTCCCTTGGAGGAGTCAGAACTTCAGTGGCTGCAGGAGGAGGAAGAGGCGGAGCCTGACGAGGACCCGTGCACCGCCAGCGGCCGCAGCCAAAGCACGGATTCTGGTATCTCAGTGGGCAGCCTGGAGCTCTCCCCGAGGACCCCTCAGCAGCACTCAGGCACCGATCAAACCACCTCTCACACACTATCCTGCAAACCAGCCACCCAGACCACACTCTCTACAGCTCAGGATTCTCCCACTCTTCCCCTTTCTTTATACTCATCCTCTCCGTTATCATAGCCCATCATTTTGCTCTGCTATATTAAAAAAAAAACACATGTCCCAATCCTATTGACCTTGTCCTTCTATTTATCTAACCACGAGCACCTTGTGTCCTTACATTCTGTGCCCTTTCCTTGAACCCTCTGGAGCCTTACATGAAACCACAGAGCCTATTATTTATAATGTTCCCTCGAACCCTCACTCATAACTCAACAGCAGCCCTGTTTTCTACATTGAGCATCTCTGGTTCTTCCTCATACAGTGTTTCGCTCTTCTTCGCCAGCCTGCCCCCCGATACAGCTATTGTTTAATTGAACACACTACTGGTAAAACCAACAGATAGTGTATGTTTTTCTGTTCTTTATTCTCTTTTTTTGGACCTGTCTAAAGCCTTTTCTTAACCATGTCTGTCAGTCATTTTACATTAGATAAATCATTGTTATTTCACATATGTGACACCAACATTAGGTGAACATGATTTGAAAGGTCTCGGTTATTGATCTGCATTTAAAGGCATTACATATTACCCGAACATTTTCTTTGGTTATCTTCTTTGTATGTCGTATTTATTCTGTGGAGATGTATTCATACTGCCGAAGAATCATAGCATTTAAAGTCTGTTACTGTACATGCGCTCTGGATAATTCCTTTGTCTTTTCGTAATTCAACACAAGAAGTATGCTTTTGATTTTTTTTATGATATGCTTTGTGTATTGTGTTAAAGAAAGGGCGATAGTTCTTGTGTTGATCAGAGAGTGTATGATTTAGACAGGTCTACTATACTGCTGCATTAGGGGGTTGTGTTGGTGAATACAATATTTTGTAGGAAAACAAAACATGAGAAGATGAATTAATGGAAGTTCTATTCAAGCGCACATAATGCTGTCAATGCAAAGACGTAATAAAAGGAATAAACACAAATGAGATTTGCTTGTTGCTTATCTATGTCTCAAGTGTTTTGCAGGGCAAAGTTTTGAGATTAAGTTGATGTAAAAAAATTTGCATAGTTCAACGAATTACATGCGAAGTTCAAATATTTTGTTACTGTACTTAAGTACATTTTTCTGGTATCAGTACTTTACTCCACTACTTATTTTTTGACAACTTTTTACTTTTACTTTTTACATTTTTACACAAATATCTATACTTTCTACTCCTTATATTTGTATAACCACTGTCGTTACTTTCGTTTTCATGTGTTTGGTGGCGCGATCTATATTATTTCCTATCATTGCGCAATAATATGAGCGCCTTTTTGATGCAAGCATTGTGCGTCTGCGTGCTACAGTGCACAGCTATCACGCACCGTATGTGGGCTAGTTTATGAAGATTATTATGAGAAAGGCTCAATAACTACGCAGATGTGAGAGACAAAGTCAACGAATTTAACATGATTGATGCTGCCCTGTTTAGAGAATAAAAAGTAGGGCCAGACGGAATCTGCGGACATTTTTTGCTATTTCTGCAGAGAATTTTAGTAAAAATCTGTGAATTTCTGTGGAATTATTTTGGGAGTATCAAACCTAAAACATTAATATGTGAAATAAAAAATAATACATTTTAACTGTAATAATATATTAAAATATTGTAATAATATATTAAAATAATATATTTTAATGTTTAAAATGCAAATTCAATTATAGTCACTTTATTTAGTAAACAAAGTAAGTTTCATATAATATCTCTACTAAAAGAAAGAAAATATTATTTTACAAACTGCATTGTACATAAATCAGATGAACATTTACATATTAGTCAATAATATTACTGTAGTTAATTTAAAAACTGAATGAACCTAGATTTACTCAAGTAAATAAACAGAATAAATAATGGCCTAGAAATCTGGGGAATTCTGCAGAAAGTCTGCGGAATTCTGCGCGCGCAGATTCTGCGTGGGTCTAGACACCTTTTGCTCGATTGGATCACAGGTAAACAAGAGAGACACATTCCAGTTCAAAAACATGCCGTTTAAATGTTTAAGCCTTTTGTCCTTGTGGTTTTTTGTAAAGATTTGTGCATTTATTAATTAAACAATCAAACACTTTAGAAAAAATTTACTCGTTGCAGTTTATTTCCTTTATTTCTGGGTGTATATTAGAGCTGCTCTTTGAAGAAATAAGCAGCTTTAGCCTAATGCAAAAAAAAAGTTTGCAGTCAAATTTGATAAGAATTTATTTTAGCAAAAGAAAAAAAATTCATTATATTTTAGACAGAATTCAGTGTTAAATGTAAGACATTTATAAACATAGTACAGGTCTACAGAATTATTTTTTGTGTATCAACGTGAATGGCAGCTGATGCTTTTGATCTAACAGCAGAAAACTAAATTCTAAATGCAGGGAGTTTGCGTTAGGGTGATCATACAAGGGCCGCGTTTTTAAGCAATGTTGTTAGGCTATTTTGCAGAGTTTGATGCTGCTTGGCTACTTTCATAAATTTGGCAACAAACATAAAATTGGAGTCAGTTTTATATGTATCAATAGGATGTGTGGACTAGTTCCTCCCTATTCTCACTCATATCCTTTAGCTTTGTCCCTGATTTATCAGAGGTCGCCACAGCAGAATGAACCGCCAATTATTCCAGCATATTATTCACAGTGGATACCCTTCCAGCTGCAACCGAGTACTGGTTAACACCCATACACACTCACATTTACACACACACACACTTATACACTACTGCCAATTTAGTTTACTTTTGTACATTTTTGAGGTTGTACTTCTTTACTTGTCAGTAGCCTACTTCTACTTTTAACAGAGTCGTTTTAAACGTGAATATCTGTACTTTAAGTAAAGGATGTGTGTTCTTTTGCCATCTCTGCTTCTATTTTAAGAAAAAAAAAATACTATGAAAGTCGATGGTTACAGGTTTCCAGCTTGTTCAAAAAATATAATCTTTTGTTTTTAACAAAAGAAAGAATCTCACATTTAAAAAAGCAGGTAAGGGATTGAGTAAATGATGACAGAATATTCTTTTGGGGGGTGAACTATCCCTTTAATCGAAATTGTTTTGACACTGCACAGCGGGACGACAGCGCCATCTTTCTTTCAGTTGTTTGTATTCGTCGCTGGCGGCGGTTTTCATAGAGGGCGCTGATGGGCTGGAAAAAACCCGTCACACCCAAAAACACGCGAGGCAGACTCAGTACAGGAAGCACGGTGTGCTTTAAGATATCTGCACACTGGTGAATAAACAAGTAAGAGATATTTGTCTAAACGCTGTTAATATTTTTTAAATAGAGAAGAAACTGTGAATGTTGCACTGGTGCTTGTTTTATAAAATGGATTGCAGCAATGTATAAAATTTGTACATGTCGGAAAAAATAGCTATTTAAAATACATTTTAGTAAACATGCTATTTGGAAAGATATATATTGTTTTATAGTATAAACTTTTTAGTAAATTGCAGTGAAATACATGTACATCTATCTGTGTGTCAACGTGTCTTTGCCTTACAATGTGAATTGGTCTAAAGTACAATATAGTCTTACAATGTAAATTGTACATTTATTTACTTTATGCACATTTTAATGATTTTTCCACTCTTCTTATCCATCTTTGCCATACTTATGTTATTTTAATTCAGGTTAGTAGCGTTGTGTTTGCATTCTGCAACAGTGGGGAATGAAGAAAAAATGACAGTCAGTGAAGTCTTTGAAATTCTAACTGAAGTATATCAAGTGGTGGAAAGAGTACTGAAAAATCATACTTAAGTAAAAGTACAATTTCTTCTTCAAAATGTAGTCCTAGTAGTATATAAGTATCTGTTGTAAATAATACTCAAATTATGAGCAAAAAGTAGACCTTTCAAAAGTACTCAGTAGGCACACGTTCTAAGACCCTAATATTGGGTTAGACTTACAGTTGAAGTCAAAATTATTAGCTCCCCTGTTTATTTTTTTCCCCAATTTCTGTTTAACGGAGAGAAGATTTTTTTCCAACACATTTGTAAACATAATATTTTTAATAACTTATCTCTAGTAACTGATTTATTTTATCTTTGCCATGATGACAGTAAACAATATTTTACTTGATATTTCTCAAGACACTTCTGTACAGCTTTTTTAGCGAGGCTAATAATTCTAACTTCAACTGAAGGTTGTAATGTCAGGTGACCAAAATTCAATGTCTAGCTAGCATCTAAGGACAATGATTTTTTAATGTATAAATAACAACGTCAAATGACGTTGACATTTGGTTGATTTTAGCTTGTGTTAGAAAGTGACCAAAATCCATTGTCAAACCAATATCTTAAACCAATGTCATATTGACGTCAAATACTGACGCCATATTATTCGTCAGGTATGGCAGCTAAAATCCAACATATGATAGACATCATAGTGGTAACATCCTCACAATGTCAAGCTGTAACATCATTAGACATTGATATTTTGTTGATTTTAGGTTGAGCGTTTTCTTATCCCCATAGACAAGAAAAAATAGTGACTGCAGGTTGAAGGAAAGTAGCGGAGTAAAAGTACCAATACAGCACTAAAATGTACTTAAGGGAAAGTAAAAGTACACATTTTTAAAACTGCTTAGTAAATTACAATTGCTCATAGAGACATTTTTTTCTATCTGGTAAGAGAAATAACATTTGAAACCACATTATCATAGATGAAAGGTAAATAAAACTACTACAAATGCAAGTAATTTAAGTCATTCAATCTTTAATTTTTTTCCGGCTTCGTCTAGTCCCTTTATAAATCTCGAACCAGCAACCTTTTTGCTGTGAGGCGATTGTGCCACCCACCGTGCCACAGTGCTGCCCCCAGTAATATAAGTATAGTATGATAAAAAAGAAATAAGTAACATAATAAAAACCTATTATTTTAGCTGAATTAAAAAAACATTACTGATGTAAGGACTTTCTTGAAGCATTCAATGAGGAATGTTGTAAATGTAACTTTCCCTTTCTGTTGGTGTAGCACATTTACCTCAAAAACAAGCATTGTTTTGCATTCCTCATGATTGATGACATTTTTGTCTTTTTTTCTTACAGCATTACTGTGGCATCATGGGGGTTCACGGACTTACAAGTTTTGTGGAAGGAAATCATCAGTTTTTAACAGAAATGAGACTACGAGACTGCCGCCTTGTAATAGATGGGTGTAGTTTGTATTTTCAATTGTATTTCAAATCGGGATTGGATCAAGCACGAGGTGGAGACTACGACTTGTTTGCGGTGTTGGTTCGACAGTTCTTTGCTGCACTCTCAGAATGTGCTGTGCAGCCTTACGTGGTGGTGGATGGCGGAATGGATCAGACAGACAAGAAGTTCAAGACACTGCAGGAACGAACCCAAAGCAAGATCCGAGAGGCTCACTCTCTTTCCAGAGGATCTCATGGTTACATTCTCCCGCTACTTGCAAGAGAAGTCTTCAAACAGGTCCTTTTTGAGCTTGGCGTGCCATTGGTGCAATGCATTTCTGAAGCTGATTTTGAAATAGCCTCTCTTGCTAAACAATGGGGATGTCCCGTTCTGACCAATGACAGTGACTTCTTCATTTTTGACCTGAAAGGAGGCTACCTACCATTTTCATTTTTTCAGTGGAATAACGTCAGCGGTAAGTCTGCAGAACGCTACATCCCTGCACGTCATTTCACCGTGAACCGCTTCTGCATGCATTTCAACCACATGAACAAGCAGCTCCTCCCTCTGTTCGCTGTTATTACTGGAAACGACTACACACCTGGTAAAATAACTGACATTTTTTTCAGTCGTGTGGAGTTTGAAAGAGTTCCATCGGGTCGGAAGTCTGGACGAAGTTCCAGTCCTCGAATTGAGGGATTTTTGCTCTGGCTGTCTCAGTTTGCCAACCCGGCAGACGCTCTAGAGATGGTTTTGGTGATATTAGGTGGACAACAGAAAGGAAACTTGCGTGCTCAGCTTTCCACAAGACTGAAAGACTACCAGCTTCCTCAAAACAGCAGCCTGGCTCAGTATTTTTTAAATCCCCAACCTGCACTACCAGATACCCAGGGGCTCCCAGTGGCTCTGGTTTCTCAACCAGAGTGGCTTTTAAAGATGATTGCATCAGGACAACTGTCCTCATTTGTCTTGGATGTGCTTGTTCACCAGAAGGTTCTGCTGGTTGCGCAGGTGGAAAATAGTCACCTGGCTAGCAGTCACATGACCTCACTGAGTATTCGAAAGACCATCTACAGCCTTCTGCTTGATAAGCCAAAACAGGAGAGTCAGATGCCACAGACGAGCACCCAGAAAGGAAGAGGACAAGGGGACATGACCAAACATTCTCAGGGTAAAGGAGGTCTGTTTTACACTCCTTGTGTTGATGAGTATGATAGACATGAACTGAATCTCAAGAAAAACACGGTGGAGGCTCACCAACCTGCCTCTGTGCCACAACTATATCTTACAGCTATTGACAAGGTGAGAAAGTGTTTCTGCGTGCACACTACCTGACAAAAGTCTTGTCGCCTATACAAGTTTTGGGAACAACAAATAATAACTTGACTTCTAGTTGATCATTTGGTATCAGAAATGGCTTATTTGAAAGGCATCATGCAAAAAAAAAAAAAAAAAAACGACTGCATCCATACATCTCTGCAATAAGTCATATAACTTATTAGTAAAGTCATCTGGAATGGCAAAGAAAACGTTCTTGCAGGACTCCCAGAGTTCATCAAGATTTTTTGGATTCATATTCATTGACTCCTCTTTTATCTTACCCCTGATAAGCTCAATAATGTTAATGTCTGGTGACTGGGCTGGCCAATCCTGGCCAAACCTAAACCAACCTTTGCTTTCAGGAACTTTGATGTGGAGGCTAAAGTATAAGAAGGAGCACTATCCTGCTAAAGAATTTGTCCTCACCTGTGGTTTGTAACGTAATGGGCAGCACAAATGTCTTGATACCCCAGGCTGTTGATGTTGCCATCCACTCTACAGATCTCTTGCACATCCCCAGACTGAATGTAAACCCTAAACCATGATTTTTCCTTCATCAAACTTGACTGATTTCTTTGAGAATCTTGGGTCCATGCAGGTTCCAGTAGTTCTTCCGCAGTATTTGTGATGATTCATCAGAAAAATCTATCTTTTAACCACTTTTTCAAATGAAGTCAAGTTATTATTTGTTGCTTATACAACTGGAATTGACGTCAAGACTTTTGTCAGGTAGTGTAAATGTGCTTTAGACTTTGCATATGCTGTTCGTTTCACTGGTTGTCTTTTGGTTTTTATTTTAGGCGTCTGCACAAGTGAGGCTGCAGGTGTTGTTGGGAGCACTGGGTGTGATGGAACACATTTTACAGCCATTACCTTCTCAACTTTGCCTTGCAGTGTGTGTGACGTTTTTTTGGATGAATAACTGCAAACCAAAGCCCACTCAGCCACTACTCCAAGCAATATTGCTGGGATTTGTGTACGGGGAGCTCAGCTGGAGAAGAACCCATCCTAATGGTATCACTCCTCTTGTATTTACTCAGCTAGTATCGCAGACATTTTATTTGAGACTGAGGAAATATAATGAATACGTTAAATTGTAAATAAAAAGTACCAATTGAGGTTTGAGGTTTATTTTGCCATGCCAAGATTGAATTATAAGGGGCCAAGCACAGAAGGTATTTGCACAAATAAAAAAAAAAAAAACACTGATAGAGGACAGTCTGCCAACAAATTTGGACTCTCTAACTCAAACTCTCTAGCGCCACTACAAAAAAGTTTCACTTATGTTTATCGTTATATATCATTATATGTTTATTATAACTTTTGAACTGAATGGGCTACAATCATTAAATCAAATTCTTTTTTCTTCTGATGCACCCCGTCATTTTCCGTCATAATTTGTTTCCACTATTTAAATTTTTTTTTAAAAACTTATTTGAACAAACTCAACCTAGAACTTTTGCCCGATTTTCACCAAAATTGAATCAAATGATCTACAGACAATGCTGACCAAAAGTTATTGAATTCAAGTTGATTAGACTAACCTTTTTTTGAATACATTGCGAACAAATTTAATGTAGAGCTTGCAAAAATTGACTCAAGGTGTTATCTCCGTAATGGATTGACATATTCACACCAAACTTGGTGTGTTATCACAACCATGGTCTGAAGAGAGCTGCAGCGTTTCGGCGCATTGCTTATAACTTTTCAACCCTTTGTCCAAAATGTATTAAATTGTTCTCTTTACATGTGGCAGAGCATGCCAAGTCAAATGATGTCTGAATGATGATTTTGAGTTATGCCAAAATTACTATATTTTAAGGACGCATTGACAAATTGTTATAAAAGTCAGTATGTGTCTTCGGGACTGTGCCCTGAAGGTGCTCAAAAAGTTTTGCCACATCACCACTATTTGGTCAAATGTTATAATGATATTTCTAAAAATGCTAATTACCTTTAACTAATTTTGCCTATTGTTATGAAACTTGTCTTGATATATTCATTGGGTTGTCCTGAGAATATAGATACCAATTATGCCCTAATTAACTGAACTTCCTTTCTGCCATCTAGCCTTAAGTCAAACACAGACAACACAGATACCAATTATTCTATAATCTGCCAAATTTCCTGTACTGTCCACCATTTTAATTTAAATCAAACCTTTTTTTTTTTTAACTAGACCATTGGTCCAATCTTTACCAAATTTGACTTGGATCATCTTCAGACCATGTTGACCAAAAGTTATGGAATTTATGTTGATAGACAAAACTGTTGTCATTTAGCATTTGCACAAACTTGATGTAATGCTGCCAGATGGTATTACAGACTGAATCACTGCAAAGGTTTGAAGTATTAAAATCAAACTTAATGTGTATGATTTAAACTTACATCAGTTTGCACCACCTTCTGGGTAAAATTGATAAACAATTATATTCTATCAATAAAAATCATACAAAATTTATCCAATGACTTTTGAATAGTTTTGTCTATTGTCATGAAACTGGTCTTGTAGATTCTTTGAGTCATACAGAGAACATTGATATAATTTATTTCCTAATTGACAGGACTTCCTGTCCACCATCTTGAATTAGTTTGAAAATCTCCATAGTTTTGAACTCTCCATAGATCATTTGCCCAATTTCCAGCAAATTTGGCTCAGACCATGCTGCAGAATTTTCCAGTTGCTCTGTAGCTTGTTGCCTTGCTTGTTTATGATGTGGCCGCTGGGCTGCTTGGCCCCGATAATTGCTGCTCACAGCTAAATTTTGGAAATTATATTTATTACATCAATCAACACAAAATACCAAAAATAAATGAAAGTTAATAAATGAATAAAGATTAAAACCTATTTTGCCAAATATTTTAGTAAACATGCACAAAAAGCATACAAAGATATGTTTGCATCAAACAATTTATAGAAAACATGCATGCATCCACACCCAAAAAAGTTCTCTTTTATTTTCTATTGTGAAACTAAATATTTAAGTTTCAGTTATTTAGCATTACGTATTGCTTATCAATTTAATGTTTTCATTTTATTAATCGCCCTAAGCCATATTGTTTTGTGTCACTATCATACAGACCCACTGTTTGGCAGCAAAGCTTCAGCTTCTGTATGTCAGCGATTATCTCAGCTAAGGGTCAATCCAGGGCAAAGGAGGGGTCTTGATCTGGGTGTGGCCCATTTGCTCAGCCAATGGCAGTCCTGTATGTGGGTGACGATGTTCCTGAACCAGTTATTGTGTTTTCCGCTACCTGAACCTCAGTGTGCCTGGTATGGTGACTTAATGATGAGTGAAATATATTTTGTAATTCTCATCAGTGCTTTGTTAAAATCATTATAATATAT